TATCTAAACATATAAAGAAAAGCCTCCAAAACAAGGCTGGGTTTGGTGTTGCATGCCTTTAATCCCAGCACTCAAGAGGCAAAGGCAGGCAATTTGAGGCCAACCTGGTCTACATAAAGATCTAAGCCACCCAGGACTACACAGAAACCATCTCAATAATTAAGAGTAACAACAACAACAACAACAACAATAATAACAATAACAAAAAATCCACCATGAGATACCACCTCACACCCTTTAAGCTGACTATAATAAAAAAGTCAGGCAGTAAGAAGTTTTGGCCAGGATATAAAGAAATTAGAAACTTCATGTACTACTAGAAATTTAAAATGGTTCATCCACCTTAAAAAAACAATCTTAAGGGTTGGGGATTTAGCTCAGTGGTAGAGCGCATGCCTAGCAAGCACAAGGCCCTGGGTTTGGCCCTCAGCTCCAGAGGGGGACGGGATACAGGAAGGGATGGACAATCTTACTATTCCTTAAAAAGTTAGTTTCCATTTACCCCAGCAATTTTAAGCTTAGGAAATATAGCCAGGAAAAAAGTAAAACCAAAGTCCACACAAAAACTTGTACATAAATGTCTGTATCAGCATTATTTATAACAACCAGAGTAGAAACAACTTACATGCCCACAAGTGGGCAGTAAAATGTGTATTTATACATATTATTCAGCAATCAAAGGACTGGAATAGGGATCTATGATACAACACAGACAACTCTTAAGAACATTATACTATGTGAAGGGGCCAGTCCTAAACCCCACACTCTACCTGTGTGTGGAAATCTTTAAAGGAAGAACAGTGGTTGCCTAGGGCTGGAGAGACGGCAAGGAACACAGGTGGTGACTACCGGGCACTGCCTGCCTTTCTTCTTCTTTTTTAAAATGTGTTTAGGTATTTTGCCTGCATGTATGTCTGTCCACAATGTGCATGCTTGGTGCCCAAGGCCAGAAGAGGGCATTTGCTCCCCTGGGACTGGAGTTATGGACGGTTATGAGATGCCACGTAGGTGCTAGAGTTACAAATGGTTGTCAGCCACCATGTAAGTGCTGGGAACTGAACCTACATACTCTGGAAGAGCAACCACGCTTAACTACTGACCCAGTTCTCCAGCCCCTACTGACTGCTTTCTATCATGATAACAATGTTCTAAAACTGATTGTGATGACGGTCACTCAACTCCTGAATTTACACTAACAAATGGACTATATGCTGAGTGAACTATCTTTAATTTTTCCTTAGACTTATTACTTTTATCTTATGTGTGGGTGTTTTGCCTGTAAGTATGTATGTGCACCAGGTATGTGCTTAACGCCCACAGAGGTCAGAAGAGGGCATCCGATTCCCTGGAACTGGAGTTATATCGATGGTTGGGAGTCACCATGTGAGTACTGGGAACTGAAGCCAGGTCCTCTGCAAGAGCAACAAGTGCTCTTAATCTCTGAGCCACCTCTCCAGCCCCTAAATGAATTAATCTTTTTGTTTGTTTGTTTGGTTGGTTTTTTTAGGGACAGGGTTTCTCTGTGTAGCCCTGGCTGTCCTGGAACTCATGCTGTAGACCAGGCTGTACTCACAGAGATCAACCCACCTCTGCCTTCCAAGTGCTTGAATTAAAAATTCTGCAGGGCCAGAGAGATGGCTCAGTGGGTAAAGGTGCCTATATGCAAGACTGACTGAGTTCAATCCCCAAACCCATGTAAAGGGGAGGGAGAGAAATAACTCTCAAAAGCTCTTCTCTGAACCTCCATGTGTACAGTGACACACATGTGCCCAAATACACACATACACAAATAAATAAATGTAATAAAAAATTCGTGCAGCCAAATATATAAATGCACTATTCTCCAAATTGCTCTTCATCTGGAGCAGAGGTCAATACTCTTGGTGTTTCAGCCATTATAATGAAATATAATGGATTATAATGAAAGCAGCCATAGACAATATATATGAGTATGTGACTGTGTTCCAATAAAACTTTATTTCAAAAACAGGTGGCAGACTAGTCCCCTCAATGAGGATGGCCAGGCCAGTAATGCTTCTGAAGTGGCAGAGACTTGGAGGAGCTGTCTTGTACAGGCGGTAATTTGTAAATAGTAGAGACAGGACTTCAACTTTGGTTTCTTTGGGAATTTGTATTCAGCCTCACATGCTGCTTCTCCCAAACACCTTCCCCTCTAGGCAGTCAACAGAGCAGGAGGGTGGCAACGGCCTCACAAACATCTCTGCGCTACACTACCTCCTCCTCCAACCTCTGAGCCCTTCAAAAGCCCCTCCTCTTCAGACAACCTTCCACGGTGTCGCTGTTCCTAAGAGACTAAGTCCAGTCGGCTGGCAACTGAAGTCTTCACCAACAAGGACCCAGGGGGTATAATTTACATGACTTCAAAGATACACAAGAAGCTCACAAGTGGGGAGGACAAGGAGAGCAGCGTACATCCTAGGGAGGCACGGCATAAGCAAAGGAACACATTCAGGAGTTCACTAAATAGGCAAAGGGTTAATTTAAATGAGTGGATGCTTTGTGCTTTACATTATGGAGGCATCTGATCTGCCATCTTTTCTGTATTACAGACTTCCCAGTTGGCTCTTAGAATTATCTAGCACATAGTAGGTAGTCAAATGTGAAAGAAAATAGGAATGCATGAATAAATGACTGAATGACACAGTGTGAGAGAGGTATATATAAGTCAAGCCTTGATCTCCTCCTCCTCTTCTTCCCTTCATCCCCGACGAGGTCTTGCTAGGTAGCCTAGGCTGACCTCAAACTCTTGGACTCAAGAGATCCTCCTCTCTCAGTCTCCCAGGCAGCCAGTACACACATGTGTGACATCACACTCGGCTCCCGCCTTCCTCTTTACTGTGTCTTCCTGGTGCACTTCCAGGCCATTGTTTTGGGTCTTGATAAGTGAAAACTCAGCTCCCTGCTGCATCCAATCTCTTTCCCCATTTATATAAAATTATGGCCTCTGGACCACTGGAATGGCTCACCATGGAAGGGTGTTTGCCACTAAGCCCAACAACCTCAGTTCAACAACCCCGGAAACCCACAGGATGGAAGCAAGTCCTGCTAGCTGTCCTCTGACCTCCTCCAGGTGCGTGGCAAGTGTGAGTGCATGTGCGCACGCTCACTCACACTCACACACACACACACACACACACACACACACACACAAAGGAAATGAAAAACTATGGAGTTTACAGCCTAAAGAATCCTTAAAGGCAACCTTGTGTTTTAGATCACTAAAGAAAGCATCATCATCATATGTGCCTGAGACCGCGGTACCTCAGAAGTTTAGCAACAACAGACCCCAGGTTTGCCAAACGGCCTATGGAATTCTGTTTCTTAATGTGGGCAGCGTCGCGGCAAGATCTCTAACACCCTGTCGTCACCTCTGGACATGTTACTCTATTTTCCCCCCCACCAAACTCTTCACTCATCCGTCAAGCTTCAGCTGAAGTACCCTTCTTTCAATCAAGACCCCAAAGGTGCTCAAGACAGAAGGGAATTCTTTGTGCTCTCTCAGACCCATAGCACAGTATTATTAAAACTATTGTTTAAGCCGGGCGGTGGTGGCACACGCCTTTAATCCCAGCACTTGGGAGGCAGAGCCAGGTGGATCTCAGTGAGTTCGAGGCCAGCCTGGGCTACCAAGTG